TCCGATTGTCTGTAACCGGCCTTTGACACCTAAACATGCGTGCGCATCTATTACATAACGTCACACGCACGTCGATGCCTTCTATACCGTGGGTGGACGTGGGGCTATAATATGATGTGGATCTGCAGCGGCCGGCGTCCACAGATAAGCTGCAACAGTCAGGTATACCAGCGCCGGACCTCTGAATGGCACCTCCATCATTACTAGGAAGGAATTCCTATTGCCAACACCACAAGGTGAGGTTGAATATGTGACAACTCACACACAAATAAGGGAGGCACTTCAGTGTTCTCCCTTATTAACTGCTACTGTAGCGAACAAATCTAGTACGAGGGCCCCTGTCAACAGACACCCTCGCTGCCCATGGAAATAAGGTAATTGGGCACACGGTCACAAACCTTAAGAATAATAACATACAGTGTGTAATACCAGGCGCTAAACATAAAGTGCAGCAAGTGCCACTGTGGAATGAATCACAAACACTTCCGCTCTTAAGATAAGTTCGAAAAGTAGGAAGTGGACAGCGCAAACATTACACAATCTATACAAAAAAATCCATGTGTATAAAAGCACACTATGTGAGGTACATACAATTGTGTATCAGACACCACTTATATAAATGTGCTGAGTGGGGGGCGGGGCCGGACCGCCGAGCTGGACGGTTGCAGGCAAGCATAGCTCCTGCAACACCGCACTAAAACTACTACAAACCATGCTTTTTAACCGAAATGATGCCTAAAGCAGAGGGACTGCTGGATCCAGGGAGAGACTGGCTTTTCAAGCTACAGTCCCATGGAGGAGAAATGTTCGTTAAACTAACTGAGGACTTCTCCGGCGGTGAGTGGGACGGACGGCTGCTGCCCCACTATCCTGCAATACAGCACCCAGCCTGGGGCACGAATCCGAGCAGACCCAGCCCTGTTGCCCCCCCCCTCTCCCCCCATGGACCGGTGGGAGTGATCCCGGTCCTCACCCTAATGCCTTGGCCGAGATTCAGCAGCCGAAGCTGGGGGGTCAGAACGCTAAGTCCAAGATGGGGGGGCGCCATGTGCACAAGTGACGAAGGGAAGACCAGCACCCAGCACCAGTGTCCACGGCTGACAATGCGGCTCCTGTCTTCAGACCCGGCTATGCCGAAAAGCGAGATCGTTATTACCTACCTCCGCAGCCATCTAAACCAGCAACGACAACGGCGGCACAGGGGGATCGAACTAAACCGCGCACTGACCATTGCCGCCTGAACGGACCAAGCCTGTCACCGGAGTAAGGACAGACCTCCAACTCACCCCACAACCAGCCTGCAATAAAACCACCCATGAACCGACAACCACATGCAGACGACACCAAGCTCCCCTCCACAGCTGACTCCGACCCTCAGAGAACTAAGAGGGACAAGCATACTGAAGCACAGCTGCAGCCTCAGAGAAACCAGCGAGACCCTTACAGCGCAGCATGGTTGGACTGTGTTCTGATGCCTGCTCTGATGGACACTCGCTCCCTGCTACACAGATCGTGCAGAGCAAGTATTGAATGATAGTGGTACTCCCCCTGAGTGTGAGGTCTCAGGACCACCAAGATGACAGAGGCAGTATGGGTGGACCCGGTCGGCCGGGGTGATAATAGCATTATAGCGATTTACCTAAATTTAGCCTGTTTCTAGCCAATGCATGATTACGGTTTAATCACAATGCTTTAGTCTATCTCCATAATATATATTATGCACCAGCATTACTTAGAACATCCAAAGCATAGTCAACGCACTGACCCAGCCTAAATATACCATATAGCTAATCAAACAATCGATTGTTTATACACAATTTAAAAAAAAAAACCTTTTAATGCCTTGATCCTCATCTCTCATTAAGATATGGTAATGGAAGTTCCCAGTAATGGTTTAACCCTGAAAGGACGAACCTACTATAGAACCCAAAGGGACACCTGTATGGACACTCCAGTGGTGTCCTGAGGCTTAACCCCTGAAAAATTCTACCAAAAAAAGGAGCCATGCCTCTCTGGTCGTTTTATCTGATAAAAAAACAGCCATTGTTAAAAAGTGCTCAGATTTTTAGCTCCCCTATATACAACTTTAGGTTTCTCCCCAATAAAAGTTTTAAAATCCTCGTCTTGTTTTAAAAGATGCCAATGCTTATTCAATATTTTTTTTTTAAAAGACATGGCTTTGAGAATTAAAATCACATATAAAAGAAATGTGCTCGTTGTCTGCTTGTTTATTCTTTACATTATATTCTAAAAGCTCCTTTGTAAGTTTATCTTTAATCATTATCTTATTAGACCTATTTTATTTTTTCTATTATATTATGGTTCATTATTGGGTTGCCCTATGAGAGTTTGTTTCTCTTTCTATTGCAGTGGCCCTTTACCACCTGTCTATGGTAGTTATTTTATATTTCTTTACCACTTAGCATGTTTATATAAGTGGTGCCTGATACATAATTGTATATACCTAGCATATGCCTCATTTCCACTAAGCGGTATGGTTCTGGTCGGTACGGTTCGGAAGGGTTAGAATGGTCCAGCCTATTCAGGTGAGCGTTTAGTGACAGGAACTTGCTGATCTTCCACCTAATGACACTAACATGTGAGAATTGTCTGCAATTCAATGTGAATTTCAAGTTTAACGCCAAAATAGCTGTACTGAAAGGATTCTCCAAGTCAGCTTTGTTATGAGTTTGGCTACTTTATCCTCTAATTTAAAATGCACTTTGAATTCCTAACCCTTCTCACTTCAGTGAAAAACCCTGAAACTTACCCACAGCTGAATGACCAGGACAGCGTAGGTGCCAGCATGGTCCAAAACAAAAATCAGGCAATTTATTCCCAACTCAGTCCTCAGGTACACCAACATTCCATGTTTGTCAGTGTCCCCATTGAGTATTATTAGAAAATGTCGGAATCCTGGACTGTTGGTATGTCTTGAGAACTTTGTTGGAATCCACTGAAATATTGAGAGAGAGAAAGAAAAACCTGGATCTCATGACTGTAGCTATCACAGGGTTGGCTGAGAAAGCATGGGTTGATTAGACAAATGTACTAAATAAATATTCTGTGTTTGCTGGAGTGAGATCACAGAAGCTCTGTGATGGAGAGTCGCCCAAAGGGCACTGTGTATCAAATTTATCAACTTTAAATGGGGTTATAAACCTGCCTGTCGCCTCCTGCAGTTTAATTTGGGAAAGTTCCAGAACCTGTGGAAAAACACCAAGCACTGGGTGGCCTTTTACACAAAGCCGATCTAGCCCTTTACAAAACAATTCGGCACACTAATGCCAAGGCTGACGTAAGGGTAACTAAAGTTTCCTAGGAATTCACATCACCTTGTTAAGGTTTACAGGTGATTTGCTCTTAACCTTTTCTATTTTCTTTATTAAATCTAAATGAATTTCTTCACTAATCTTTATTGAAAAACGTTGACATTTAAATAAAGAACCACCACTTTCTTCCTGGTGAACCCCCAGAAATGTTATTTCAGTGTTTACCAGGGCGAGATGTGAATCTAATATATATATATATATATATATATATATATATATATATATATATATATATATCTACATCTATCTAAACTGCAAGGTGCACGCAGAACACGATTCTCACAATGCATGCACACAAGTCACTTGCAAGGAATCCTGGGATCTTTTGGCATTTGCATTGGATGCCAGGCTGTTCCAGAACAATCTGGAATTCATTGCAAATCTACTTATAATAAAAAGAGGGTGTTTATAAAAAATATCAAGCAGTTATGTCACTTTTTAGTTTTTCATAAAGATAGAATGTTTTGTTTTTAAATTGAACAAGTATCAGGTTGTAATTTTACCAAAATTTAGGCACGATCTTAATATATTCAAAAAGACTTTGTAGGGACTATTTTGTCAATATAATTTGGAAATGGTGAATCACGGCAAAAATGCAATATTGATTTACTTCTGGCTGCCTGGCGTGATGTATGATAGATGTTCTACATATACAGATACATTCTAAGGTATAATATGTCGATAACAAAGGAGCACCAGCCCGTTAACTAGAGGAGCTAATATTTGAGCCTTGCCTGCTGTGAGTTACCCAGTGCACCAAGGTAGGGTGGGGGAAACCCACAGTCATAACAACTACTTTGGCGAAATAGCTAAACTCTATCCCTATAGCTACCAAGAAGCAGAATCATGCAAGGACCATTATCATTGACCCCTACAGGAGTACAGGAGATTATAAATAATAAATCCTGTTATAACCATTGTCGGTAGGCGCAAGGTGATTGGTTAACCCTAACTAAGGTGGCAGCAGAAGGAGGGAGAAAACATGGGGCATATTCAAGGCGGTTAGAGCTGTGTATGGCTTAAAGCCACAAGGTCACACTTTGGACCTGTATCCAGCTGTAGAGCTGTAACAAATAATAGAACCAAAAATGAAAACAAAAGAAGACCAAAGTGTTAACATAAACATTACACAATATTGCCTGAGTCAAGCTATGCCTTATGTTACAGTATGCTTAAGTCCCTGGGTCAAGATCCTCTCCCAGCACGAAAGGAACAACATTGGAGAGATCCCAAGTCAGAATAATGTCAGGACCATAGGATTTAGAGTGAGTCCCGTATCCTAAAAAGGGACGGAGCCTCTTGGGGAGAGGAGATTTTAAAGACTGTTCCATTATGTGTAACAGACAGGAACCTCGGTGCTACCATGTGGTAGGGTATTCCAGCCTCCTGGAGTTGACTTGTAATAGTGCTAAGGGATCTCTGCCATTGGAGTGTGGCTCTGGTGAGGTCTTGGGAGATAAAGATCTATGTTGATTCCAATGTGTATGGTGTCTGGCCTTGCAAGGCCATCACAATGTGCATTTTATCTTCAAAGGATGAGCATCTGGCATGATATCTCGAGAAACTAACGCAGGTGCCTGCCTTGAAAGTCTTCTTGGCTTGTTGGAGATAGGAAACCAGACAACGCAGGTAGTGCAATATCAGTGCTTTCAGTGGCCCCTTCAGTTGTCAAGGTAGTCCCTGATAGTAAGGGTGCTGGTAGTGGGTCTGGCCTACAGGACTCAGGGGACACGAGGCTGGTCGCTGGCAGCCAAATCGAAGTGTACCTGCATTTGCAGCATGGTGCTCATGTCCCTGGCTTCTGCAGGAGCACCCACAGCAAGGTTTTGGGTACTGCGTCCCATCTGCGTTGGAACTGGAATGGGTTCTGTCAAGCCTCCGGCCCTGGTGAGTACTCTGCTGCGTGTGAGGATTCCCAGGGAGCTCCCAGTGTCAGAGCAGACCTTGTGGCACAGCCGTTTTGAACTGGAGCCGTACAAGAAGTGCATCGATCTGAGGGGCATGATGACCTGCAAAAAATGGGAGCTGTGGATCAGGGCAATGCTGTGTGATTGGATATATATTGGCCTGATCGTTCATAGTGTACTCGAAGCTCCGCACTTTGATGACTGCACTTTGACGTCTGCTTAGTTCTGCCGCAAAGCCCCTCCACCCCCATTTTTAATGAATAACAAAAAACTTTTAAATACAATGTTAACAGACACAGCAAACGTTCCAGGAAGACGCTACATCAGTCAGGACCTTATATATATATTTTTTAATTATCTCATAAATCTATTTCAAGGCGTTTATGGAATATGTAGCTCAGCCTCCAATCAGCAGGTAGGCATATTGGAACTGCTGGATAAGCTGAAAGCAGGCATTTCTCAGCGAGGGCTGTCCAGATAGTGTGTGCAGCACATACACAACATATTCACAACTTGGATGGATCATGACCAGCGTAGAGCAAATTAAAATGTAACTGGAAATCCCAAACCGATTAATAATATCAAGTGATTTATCTTTCTTTATCAAGAGGGTAATCTTCTTTGTGGCTGGGAATTCACAATGTACAGAAGAGATAAAATTAGCATTGTAAAGAAATGGCATAGGAAAGCCAACAATCAAATCATAAGAGAAGCTTTTGAATTTTATAGAGGAACTGACTTTACTGCACAATCTAAATGGGGAATTTCAGAGAAGAGGGAAGTATTACCAGACAGAGTAAGAACCCAAAGAGAGAAGTGATTGTGAGTCTCGATGACAACGCTATAAGTCTGTATATTTAAAGGAAAATTGTCATAATTTTATTATTATTGACTTATAAAATATTACATGTATGGGGGGTGGGGCCTGATAGCTGGCCAAGATTGTTGCATGTAGCTGGAGCTCCTGGGGGAAACTTTTTACCAAGCTTAATCCTGGACGGTAATATTATATTTTTGGCTCAAACTTGCTTGATACTACCGAGATCCACCCCACCGTGTGTGGGACCAGCTTTAGCTCTATTCTGGTTGACACAGCCCTTGAAAGAGCTTTCTGCGGCCTACAGTCATACTCGAGGTGGGGGAGGCGGCCAATCCTAAGGCCGGGTCTCCACTCACCCATTCTTGAGCCCTTTGCAACCCAAACATCAACGATAGGTGATAAAAGGAGTGCGAAGTGGAGAGAGCATATTAAAGAAGTCCATCTTAATATGTAAGAATTAAATTCCAGATGAGGATCTGGAGGGTAAGCGGGATTTGGGAGTGTTCCACGTGAAACCCACTCCAGACGAATTCCCGCCACCAGTGTCGGACACTCAGCTTTGCCTCCATATCCAGCTGTGCAATTGAGATATTTAAGTGGAGGACAACGGTCAGCTAAAAACCATTTAATTTAATAATAATCTTTTAAACTCATTTAGAAAGGAAATAATTTTTTTTTATAAACTACATAAAGTATATGTAAATAAAATAAATAGAAAAACTCATCCCTCCCTGTGGTATATGAAAGAAACCTTTAGCCATATACACGCACCTTGGGTCGGACAGTGTTTTCATTCCGACAGTTACTCTCTATGGTCTTCACTTCTTCACTCCATGTACAGAAACAGAGAAGACCACAGAAACTAACTATCTGTTTTCAAACGCTGTCTGACCCAAGGTGCATGTCAATAAGGCTTTCCAACCATCCCGTTTTTTGTTCTGTCCCACCATCGCCAACAAACATAGCACAAGTTCATCACAATATGCGCATGCATTGTATTCATGGCACTACGATCCTACAGAGAGTGCTGAAGCAGTGCTTCCTGCAAGTCCTGCCCTCAGTAGGCCAGCCTTACATGATAGCTGTGGGCCAGGCATGAATTCATGCCAGTCTGACCTGCCAATAATTTGGGCGGACCTCCCTTTCCCTTCCCAATCACATCACAGGCTGCCCCCTTTACTCCCCTCCCACCGCGTCCCCCCTCCCTAAATGACCGCGTTGGGAGGTATGGTATATGGCTGAAGAATCCTGTTATATAGTAAAGGTAGGGATGATAGTTTTTCTCATTTTATTATTTTTGTTTCATAACAGTTTTGATTGTGAATGCAAAGTACAGTTGGCATTGTAAATATGGTAGTAATATTAATAAGTCAGACATTACTACAATAGTTTGGAAAGTGCATATAGAGAGAGCAGCTATAAAGAAGAAATTTTGTTCCCATAATGACCAGTTGAGACATTGCACTCCAGCATACCACCAAGTCAAACTAGGGAAGCACATGAAAACGGAAGGTGCAAGGTGGGTATATCTCTGGTTCAGCAAATGCTCTCCGCTTCTAAGATACATGCCTAGTACATCGCAACATCACCCATTATGGACAAAGCCCTGGCAAGGATCTCAGTTTTTTTAATGTACTTCATGAAAAAAATAAATTTCTTTTTAAATGAAGGGATTATTATATTACTTGATGAAGGGATTATTATATTAATAATTAGTTTTGAGGTGACGATTGTGCTTGAAGCCCAGGCTTACCCCCGGGCATTGTGGGGGCTAGGTACAAAGACAATCATTTTACCTCTCATGCCTCCCCCTGGATACCTGTCCCCAATACACTCAGCCTGGAATGGTTAGTTTAGTTCCCCCAATTCATCCATCTTTTGCCATATTTCCTCATGTATCACCCTCTCTGTCTCCTTCCACAACTTCCATAAGTCTGTCCCTATGTCCCTGATTTTGACCAACGATGCCACTGCCATGTTCTGTCTCCATGTCCAAATACACCTCCTGTTTCTTCTAATGCACTTACCACTAACCATCGGTCTCTTCCATCGCCCTCTCAAATCACATCTATATCTCTCCCCATGCCCTCCTCCCCCTTCAACATTTAGCAAGTGTCTCTTCACTTCATAAAAGGGTCTTGTCGTTCTCATGTGTACCAGACGACAGTATGCCCGGGCAAAGTTGCCAATCAAGGCTTACGCTATAGTGTGTAAACATGTGCACACACCTTGTATATAAAAGGAATGCACACACCTTGTATATAAAAGGAAATAAGATATTTAAGCAGGAAATATGTACAGAATGTTTGAAGAAACACCCATTTCGTGGAGATAACATGTTGCACTGAAATTTCCTTGAAAATTTCTCTGAGTTGACTAAAAACTTTCTGTGTCGTGTGCATGCACCCCTGGGCCATGTTTTAGTTGATGCTAGACTTTCATTCAGTTTTGCATAACAAATTTCCTTTATTATAAAAAATAAATAAAAAAAAAACCTGCATATGATATGCACTCCTGTTTGATTCATTGACTTGGGGAAGCATTGTTTTACCCATCATGCTTTAGATGTACGTTTCTGTAGCGGATCGGCAGTATTAAATCCATGAATTCCGCTGGTACACTCAATAATCGACAGTCAGCGCTGAAAAGAAAGCGATATCCCAAATCCCCCCAGTAACCAGACGAAACACAGTTCTGGGAGTCAACTGAAGGCTTTATTCACAGGCTCCACAATATATACAATTCCCCATGCAAGGGGTTTCTTGCCTCTCCCAGGGGTATTCCAGGGATGGACTATGTGAGGAACTTACAGTACAGAGCATTTCTCCCATCAGGCACTGCTGCACGAGAGGGATCCTCCCACTGGAATGTACCGTTAAGTGGATTATCCCTCCGTGCAGCAGAACCGGCAATTTATATTAAAATGTATAACTTTTCGAGTATTAGGTCTATTTGCACGAATGGATGTTCGGTAGATAGCTGGGGTCTGAGCGCATCATTCGTGAGATTACCGCTCAGATCCCAGCTAAAACAACCGAACGCCGCACAAAAAACATAATCCCCAAAACATACATTCAAAAGACCGATTGGTATATGGGGAATAAAATACCGAACGGCCCGGAACTACCGAACGGCCTGGAAGTCCAGCGGTGTTCGCAACGTCGAGTAGCCGTTTTTAGTACCACGTGCTCGACGACCAAACACCGCTGGGGAAACAAAGGATCCAAGATGGCCGACCGCCGCGTGGTCGGTAGTCGAACGACAGCCACCTAGGAGAGCCTCTAATGACCGATTGCAACATTGTTGCAATCGGTTAACAAGCGCCACACGTCTCTAAATGTGTGGGCTATTACAGGGTGGTTATTTCAGTTCACGAACGGCCCGCAAAGGTGCCGTTCGTGAAACGAAATGGAATACAGCTATCTGCTTTCGCCAGATAGCCAATACAGGTAATACAAAGTTATACAGCCAGCATACATTACACCTAGGCACACACATATCCCCACAACCATACAGGCAACCCTTAAAGGCACAGTCTCTTTATATTGTCCAAGTGGCTAGGTTTGCCACAGTTTCTGTTACTACTGTATATTTTATTATATATTTTTATCTTTCTGAAAACTGTGTGGGTCTTGTAAGCGGTCCTCTTTCCTTTAAAAGGTTAAACCGCTCTTAAATGGTTTAACCCAAAAGACTTCCTCTAGGTTGCTCAGTGGTATTCGGCTTCTGAAACGGCTTCTGATGTCAGGCATGGGTGCCACTGATTGGATAAAACCAGCTGACGCTCTAAGCCAATCGCTAGTTCCCGGATCATAAAAATGTTTTACATTTTTATGAATGGGGAGCTACTGATTGGCTAGAGTGCCAGTTGACTGCACTAGCCAATCAGTGACACGCCTACCCAGTGGCACTCTGTGCTTCCTGATAAATAAAAGACACGCTGTGGCGAAAGTAATCTCGCCACTTGTACTTGGAGGGGCCTGCTTGCCAGCCTCCTGCCCACAGACTATGGGCCCTGCAGGGAAACCTGTAAAAGACTACTGAACTTGACCGACTGCACTGATTTCCCTGGAACTGTTTTGGGCATAGGACCATGTGCACGGTCGGTCAAAACTATGACTTCCAGGAAATTCCTGAACCCCTGAAACGATCTGGGTGATTTTTGGATATGTTGTTCACCCAGATCGGGGCTACAGTCAGGTCCATAAATATTGGGACATCGACACAATTCTAATCTTTTTGGCTCTATACACCACCACAATGGATTTGAAATGAA